TTTAAAGCCTTGGAGCTACAGGAGTTGCAATAATACCAGATGGAGAAATAAGCTCTAACCCCTGTGTATGCAGTTTGGGTACAGGTAGTATCTATGCTGACAGTGCCCTCTTCAAGTCAGTGTCTGAAGATTATCTGCACCTCACAAAACGCTGGCAGCAGCAAATGCCAAATCCAGAAGCTTTCTGAATTTCCAGATCAGAGATAGCTCCAGCCTATATGCCTCCTAGATTTCTAATTTCTGTAATATGTTCACCACGTAGCAAAGGTTGCACGAACTAAGCATAAAGATATCTGCTATCAGCAACAACAGTATCTTGTTCTCCGCTCCCAGCCTTTTAAAAATCCTCTGTCCTGCTGACCTTAATAAAGAAAGAGTTCAATAGCAAAGATGCTTGGTTTCCAGATATATTCCCAGCAGAACTCCACGCAGGAGCCCAGAACACATCTCAGTTCCATGCTCAAGAAACAGAGCGTGTAATGTGAAGAGTCCTTCAGAAACTGGCTAGGATCAGAAAGAGAAGGACAAACGGTACCTGAGGTCAACTTTTAAAGACAAATCTAACTACCAACATAGGCATTTGCCAGCAGGATAGCAGAGCCCTCAGTAAGGCTGCCCTGCCTCCCCACTGTACAGCTGCACAAAGACTTAATAAGTTGCACACGTAGAACAACTGAGCAGCGGAGGTGTAGAATGGATTGTACTGAGAGTGAAGCCGTTAATAAGATTTGTATAGCAATGCTTTTTATGTTAATCTCTAAAGAGTTTGCTTTTGTAACATTTAACTGATAAGCATATAATCTAGTTTTAATTTAATCTCTGCAGGTGTTTCCCAATGGTAAATGTTAAATTTTTATTGCTTCCTTAGGCAGCAATAATAGGGAAAATCTCTTTAAAGCTCCTACTGTCCATTTGTATGCAGATAGCATCATATTTTATAATAACTGTAAATCTGTCAGGAGAGCCTCTTTCTTTTGAGATTACATTATAAGTGTCAACCCTGAAGTAAACATATTTGGAAGGAAAATGAAGTAGAGATGTTATTAGAGGCCTAATGAAACAACTGTAACTGCTGATTTCTAAGAGATGTATGCACATATCCTTGAAAGAAGCAGAGCCCACGCTGAGTTTGCAGCTTTTTGATGAGCAGGACAATGGAGATTCTCAGCAGGGTCCAACAGACAATACAGAAATAGATCCTACACTTCATAAAGATGATGACTATCTATAAAACCCTCAATGATTGCTCTCTCTGAGGTTTCTAAATGATTATAAATATCATGGTGTCTAAGAACCAATTATGGCTTCTTTCATATAGCTTCATAGAACAAAGGATATGTCAAGAACTCCAACATCAATAAGCATAAGCTCAGACACCAAGTACAAAAAAGCAAATCTTGATACCTGTCTGAAGAATATTTGGGCAAAATTCACTCGAGACCTGAGTGAGAGTTAAATGAATGTTTAGATCTTACACTGGCTTTATTCTCAAGAATGAGCATGCATGAAACCTGCCCTTGTTTAACTTTAGTATTCTAAAGCGAGCTATGCTTTAGGCAATAGTTTTCCCAAATCACTGTATCTACTCTGAAGGAAATACAGCTTTCTGCATGCTGTACTCACCAGAGGAATGTCACAGGGGCCATTAGTAGAGGCAAGAGCTAAGGCAAAGGACTTCTATGCTGGAACTGGCTTGCTTCCAAAGCAGTTTGGAGCATGGGCAGTTGAGAGCTTTCAGATGTCTTTACTCTCCTGTATAGACATGCCTTGAAAGGGATTACACTTTAACAGAGGTTTAGATATTTCCTCAACGGCGCTTAGATATGTGGCTCCCAAGGTCCACATTATTAGTCATAAAAACAAACACTGTAACCCCTGACACAAAAAAATACATGCTAGTACATTTAAGTCCCAAGTGACATAGAATGGGAATGCAGCATGCTGCCACTGAGGGGTGGAAATTTCAAAAGTTGCCTCAGAAGCAAGTGGAAAAAAAAAAGCCAAAACTATTAATGGGTGATTTAAATGTACAAGAACTGTTTGGACAGTATAGGTTGAACAGTTCTTACTTTTATTATAAGTGAGAACATTTACACTGCTTTAAAAGGTGGTAGTTTAAATGCAGCATTTTTTTCTTCTGAGACTTTTAAAATGAAACAAATATCTTTTATGAAGTTGCCTGGGTTTTTTTGTGTTGTTTTCTTTTATAAGCTGGTATTAACTAGAAAACTCAAAACACTGTCCACAGAAAGACAAGATAAAAACAACACAACATGGGTGTGAATGGAAATAATGCAGATACGTCACCTCATTTCCTGAGGTATTTGAAAGGAGAAGTGGATTTGCAATGCTGCGCCATGGAGAAGGCAACTGTCAAAGAAAACAAAATTCACAGGGGTAATTGGGCATTAATGTTGTTTTCCTCACAACTTAAGAAAATCTCCACAACAAATGAGTTTAGAATCTCACATATAAAGTATTTAAACAGATGGATAATCACCACAGCAACCAAAAACACTTCCAGAGAAGTCATTCAGGAGCATTCCGTATTTGCAGACTCCGGTCTCAGGTTTCTGGCAGCAAGCAGGCAATATTTTATGTAACAAAGACAAGCCAGTGTTTTTAGGTAACTCACAGTGGTTTCCAAGGTAGGTAGAAAATCAAGAAGACCTAACATAAGCTGCAGGAAAAGAATTTTTTTTTAACTCCTCCAATTACACTTACAGCGACCTGACAAGCGTGTCGCATATTCACTTCTGCATCTTATGTCTCTGCTCCTTTGGGTCTATATTTCCAACTTCCTCCTCATCCACATGTTTTTCTCACTTTTTCCTCTGCCTTACTAGCATTGCAAAAAGGACTGCAGCCTCAGTCTGCCTCTGATCCAGAACACAGTTATTCTGGCAAAATAAGGTAAACTGAGAAGGAGAAATTGAAAGAAACAATAATCTGACTGTAAAGAACTTCACATAAATCTGTGAGATAATTCTCATCATTGCCACACATGGCAGTAGTCTCCATTTTCCACATCTCAGATGAGCAGCCTACAGACAGCACATGGCACTCCTTACTCTTTTCAACCATCTGAAGTATTGGGCACTGCTGGCAAGGCAGCAAGAAGAGAGGCAGGACTGTATCAGTCCGGGTTTGGACATGCTCCACACCAAAAGCTCTGCATCAGTGAGTTTATCAAGCAGTTCCGCAGTATTTCTGTATGCATCAGTACTTGTTAAATAGCAACAGCACATCCATACATTCAATAACGTCCTGAATATGAAACACAATCTCTCTCAAGGGCCCAGTATTGCAAAATTGTCAGTGACGTGGGGTGTGTGCTCTCTGATGCATCAGGCACAGCGAACAAGGACGGAACACTGACTCCTACTCAGTTGTACACAATAGCTTTCATATTTAATTGGAGTCAACACAGGGCTTTTAAGATACCAAAATAACCCAAAACAAAGCCCAGTGATAGGTGAGTGGAAAAGGAGGAGCCCAGTATGATTCCTGATTGTCAACAAGCAGTCAGTAGGTGTAAACACTATTAAAAGCGGGACAGTAAAAACAACCAAAATTGAGTGCTGGAAACTCATAGAATGGCCCGGGTTAGAAGGGACCTCAAGGATCACAAAGCTCCAACCCCTCTGCCACATGCAGGGCCACCAACCTCCACATTTAATACCAGCCCAGGCCCCCATCCAGCCTGGCCTTGAACACCTCCAGGGATGGACGGGGCATCCACAGCCTCTCTGGGCAGCTGTTCCAGCACCTCACCATTCTCATAGGAAAGAACTTCCCCCTGACATCCAACCTAAATCTTCCCTCCCTCAACTTAAACCCATTTCCCCTTGTCCTGCTGTTATCTACCCTTTCGAAGAGTTGACTCCCTCCTGTTTGTAGGCTCCCTTTAGTTACTGAAGGCTGCAGTGAGGTCACCCCACAGCCTTCTTTTCTCCAGGCTGAAAAAGCCCAGCTCCCTCAGCCTGTCTTCATAGGGGAGCTGTTCCAGTCCCCTGATCATCTCAGTGGATCCAAAATGAGCTCTCAGAGAAGGCTGTAAATCAGTTTGAAAACAGTGATTCCAGCTTATTTGTAAGCATTTAGAAATACTACTTCTAGCTGATTGAAAGTTGTTAAGACACAAAATAAATCACCAGTTTTCACTGCACAGACTTCCAGAAACCGACAGGATTATAATTCCCATGTATATTTCAACTGTAATATTAACTAATTTCTTCTTAATGAACTACGAGTAACGATGAGGCCTGCAGAAGAATTTGGTAAAAGATGAGCACTAACACATCTTGGCTCAGCTGCAAAATGAATCGTTTTCTTTTAATCTATCTTTCACGACTTTTAACAGACAAAATACATTGCTTTCTGTCCTGCACTGCTCAATGACATGAAATGCCAACGGCTGCTGTTTGTTGCATGCAGAATTGCAGTCGCTTCACTCTGCTGATGGGTAAAAGATTCTGCAGCCCTGCTGGCTTGGAAGGCTTAATTATAAATCTTAATTATTCACCTGGCCCGCAATAAAAGCGCTGCGGTGTCCGTCTTACAGCTGTTAGTGACCTCACACACTGACTGTGGGGCTGCATTTTTCTATCCGTAAGAAACCCAAAGGCGGAATAAAAGCCAAGGCGATAACGGGCAGTGCGTAAAAGGAGCCGAAGTCCACGAACAGCTGAACAAAAACGAGGCCGCCAGGTAAATAAGAGGAACAGAACAAACGTAACAGCAGAGCGGCTCACAGGATCCACGCGTCACTTCAGCTGTTCTGCTGTACGGCGGCCTAAGGGCATCGGCCAGCCGGAGAGGGCACACCGAAAGCGCCCGCAGAACGACCGACAGCGACCGCTGCGCGCTGCCCGACTGACGGACCGAGCGGCGGACCGGCCGACATGGCGGCGGGAGCGAGGCGTTGGGGGCGGGGCTTGCTGACGTCTCGCGCTGACGTCTCGCGATGGCTGGAGGCAAGAGGGAGCCCGCCGCCATCCCGGCAGCCATAGCGACGACGCTACCCGCAGTGACGGGAACAGGCGGGAGGGGCGCCGGACAAAAGGGGCGCCGGGCGAGCCCGCAGCCAGCGGCCCCGAGCGGTGAGTGCGGGGCGGGGGGCGCCGCGCGATGCCTGTGGGGCGGGGAGGAACGCCGCCTCCTGCCCGCTTCCCTTACCGGCACGGAGCGCCGCCGGACCCGGCGAGGCCGCGCTGCCAGGCCTCAGCCCCCAGCGCGGGCGGCGGGCCGGGCCGGGGCTGTGAGGGGCGGCGCGGCGGGGGCAGCGCGCTGTGCCGGGCGGAGCAGGGCCGGGCTGTCAGAGCGCCGCCGCCGCCTTGATCTCCGCTGCCGAGTAACAAAGGCAATAAATGGAGCGTGTGCCGTCGCTCCCGTTTCTCTGCCTTCAGTAGGTGCGTCTTAAGAGTCCAGTTAGAGCGTCTTCTTTCCCGTATTTCTCCCAAGGAAGAGCGCTTCCCGCAGTGAATCCGTGCCGTCCTGACATTTGATCTGTGTAGCTGAACCTGGGGATGAAAGGCCACGTAGCGCCGAGCGGCGCAGTATGAGTGTGAGGGCTGGGGCACGGCGCCCTTGTGCCCTCATAGCGCCCTATGGATGGAGCAGAAGCAGAGCCCGGCTGGGATTCCACGTGTCCCTGCTGCTGCATGCCCCTCAGGTGTGTTAGAACAAAGCTGCTGTTGTCACATTGTCGGCATTTGAAAAAGTCAAGGAAAAATAACTCTGGGCCGTGTTCTGGGCTGCGTTAAAAAAGGGGTGGCCAACGGGGAGAGGGAGGTGATTGTCCCCCTCTGCTCAGCTCTTGTGAGACCCCATCTGCAGCACTGCATCCAGGCCTGGGGCCCCCAGCACAGGAAGGACGTGGAGCTCTTGGAGCGGGTCCAGAGGAGGGCACTGAGATGGTCAGAAGGCTGGAGCAACTCTCCTAAGAGGAAAGGTTGAGGGAACTGGGCTTGTTTAGCTTGGAGAAGAGAAGGCTTTGGGGAGACCTCATTGTGGCCTTTCAGTACTTGAAGGGAGCATATAAACAGGAGGGGGAACGGCTGTTTACGAGTGTGGACAATGATAGGACAAGGGGGAATGGTTTTAAACTGAGACAGTGGAAGTTTAGGTTAGATATTAGGAGGAAGTTTTTCACACAGAGGGTGGTGAGGCACTGGAACAGGTTGCCCAAGGAAGCTGTGGATGCCCCATCCCTGCAGGCATTCAAGGCCAGGCTGGATGTGGCTCTGGGCAGCCTGGTCTGCTGGTTGGCAACCTGCACATAGTAGGGGGTTGAAACCAGATGATCATTGTGGTCCTTTTCAACCCAGACCGTTCTGTGATTCTATGATGAATAGAGTGGATCAAGCAAGTTGTGCTGTTGGTTCTAATAAGTGACCTCCGCTGGGAGCCTTCTGATTTCCAGCATCCTGAGGACAATTCAGTGACACTTCTCATCACTCTGTGAAGTAGCAGAGGGTTTGGGAAGTCTTCGAGTGGTTCTGCCAGTTCTGACGTCACTGTCCACCCACTTCAGTGCTTTTGCAGAATGTGTGCCCTCCTAGATCAGCAAACTGAAGTGAGGTTAACCAGCTTGCTCAAGGTCACAGGGTCAGTGACAGAGCTGGCAATAATGGAACGCAGCCATCCCCACCGCCGGCTCTGTGCTCATCACTGGATGACTCTCCCAGATAATTGCAGGTAGTTTAAACATTGCGTTGCGTAAGTGTGTTTTGAGGCCTTCACAAACTTTTGGAAAGATGAAACGTTAATAGATCTGCTTCAGATCTTATTATCTGTTTGCACAGAGCTCACACTGAAGCTTAAACTTCTCCTGGCATTGGGAGAAATTTTGAGGACTTCATGGCTTATTTTGTGAATATGTGCTCAAAAGTCATCTGTACCTCAGTTGCGTGTTTGTTAAGCAAATGGTGTGGAAAAGCTGCTTGTGTAGATTTAGAGGGTAGATGATGGGATAGAACAAACATCGATTACACCGTAATTACAGTTTTTAAAAGGAGAATGTGGAAACTATGGCTCTAAAGAGTTCTCTGAATAAAGTGTTTACCAAATGATGTTCTGTTATTTGCCACTGTTTGAAAAAAAAAAAAACAAAAAAACAACCAAACAAGTGTGCTGGGAAGCCATAGTGATGGGCTGCTGGAAGTTAAAATGGAACAAAAAGCTTCCCCCTCCTTGATTTATTTTTTCTGCACGTAATTGTTAAATAAAAACAAATCAGAATGGCTGTCATCTCTGAGTCTAGAGAGAAGTTTCACTTCATGTTGTTTTTTTGTTTCTTTTTTTCCTGTTAAGTTTATGAAGAAAGGGATTTCAGAGGAAATGCTGACAGTTCATGCTGGTGTGACACATGCATTGTATATTTAGTAGCTTCAGGGAGGAAAGATCCTTACTGAGCTGCAGAAAATATAATGGATAATGGTTGGTGAGGACTTCAGAGAGCACTGGGAAGCAGGCTGGCATTGCTCAGGTGTTCCACCTCAGCCCTGTCCTGCAGGGAGCGTTGAGTTTGGCACAGTCCTAACGCTGTGTGGACTTGTGCTGGTGGTCATAGATAGAGACCACAGGTCTCTGTTTTGTAAGGATTTGTTTGTGCTTATCTTTGTGTTCTGGAGTTAATTCTGATGACCACTGGCTGCACAAAATAATCTGGTAGGAGTTGCTGTGTTGTAGTGCAGCATGGAGAACAACAATGGCCAAATTCCTTTTAAGTGCTCTGCCAGTGGTGCCGAGGCAGCACTGCATAACTGTGCTCTGGGCATCAGCAGGAGTCCTGCTCTAAGTTTGATCAAAAAGACATCTTGATGATACAGACATCCTCTGTTCAGGGGGGGAAAGAAAAGAAAAAAAAAAAAAAAGAAGATTGACAGCTTGTTGTTGATGAGCACTATGTGAAAGATGCACACTGTTATTCATACTAAATTGCCATATCTCCCCCGTGTTTGTACAACTTATAATGCTGTCTTTGGGAAAAGTACTTGTGCTGATATTACCTGGAGAGGTATCCCAGCAAGGCGACTTGTCAGCTGAAATAACTCTCTCAAAAGGAATGCTTGTGGCTTGCCTAGAAATCTACAACTTTATATCCTGAATGACACTGCTGTGTCAGCAAATGTGTCTGTTGTAGAGCTGAGTTTGCCAGATTTTACTTCTGCCAGTTTGAGTGCTAACTTCTTATCCAGCCAAGTTAAATATGAAAAGGAAGCAATAATGGGATGTACTTCTTTTTAGGGTAGGTAGCTTTCAGTGTGAAAGCTCGTGGAATCCAGGAAGGTTTGTGCACTGTTACCAGAGGATGTGTAAGAACAAGACCTGCTGGTAGGCTTATGGTGCACAGCTCTGCTGGTGCTGTGATGTGTGGGTTGGAGCACCTGGCTGCTTGCTGTTGGCTGAGCTGAGGAAACTGGAGCTGTGCTGTGACGCCAGGAATCAGAATGAAACCCATGCAGTGCTTAATGGGGCTGTGGTACTCCCCGTCCCTGGAGGCATTCAAGGCCAGGCTGGATGTGGCTCTGGGCAGCATGGTCTGGTGGTTGGTGACCCTGTACATAGCAGGGGGGTTGGAACTAGATGAGCATTGTGGTCCTTTTCAACCCAGGCCATTCTGTGATTCTATGATACTTCATTTGTAATCATTAAATAAAAAACAAATGGTTTACATTTTAATAAATCTGGTCACTAAAATATTTGGCAGTACTTTGGTAGTGGTTGTACAGAAGTTTAAAGCACTTATTAGGAAAACAATTGCTCATTTCAAGAAGATGGCTTATATATCTGATATATATAATGTATGCAGTATGGTATGTTTGAGAACCAGTTGTTCTCATATGAACTTGCTGAACACTGTGTTAATTTTGGGGGGAAAAAGAAATAATAAAGTACAAAATCTGTGCATCAGAAGCTTCAGATGAAATTATTTCCTATGCTGATTATTTGGCATATAGTCATATTAATAATAACACATTTGACATATATTAATCTACTTAAATGGCACAATGAATCTCATTTTGCAATGGCTCATACAGTTTTGCAGGAAATATTGTTTACAGCTGCTCCACGCAGTGATCTTAGAGCTTGTTAATTCCTCTGAAACAAAATGGATTTATGACAATTCTAAGAAGCACTGCGGAGCCCAAATTGCCACTCACAGATCTGTTTCTTTTTCCAGTCCCTTCTTAATAAGGTAGCAGAGCATCAGCTTTGGAATGCTCTCATTGGGGATTTGTTTTCAGAGTATTCTTAGCAGCATTTCAGTGAAGCGGAAATCAACCTGTGTCTGCAAGGAAAGTGGGCCCAGGGAAAGGTGTTCCAGTGAGAGCAGTTCTCTAACTAGTTGCTATTTAAAAAAAGTAAAGAAATAGAAGAGCTTAACAAGAAACACAACCTGTAAATCTAAAGATGGGACTACAAAAATATGCTCTAGCAAACATTCATTTCTGTCATGTTTCAAATAAAAGTGTCGATTTGGTGCTTGGAAATGTAAACATCACAATGTTTTGAATGCAAAAATCCAAGCTTTTATTTTTGTTTGTTCAGGATGCTATGGGAATTCAATGCTAAACATTTCAGAAACTGAATTTCTTAAGGTGCAACCAGATCAGATTATTTGTCTGGAGAACAGCTGGAACAGATGTTCTGTAAAGCTGCATTGAAAGTAGAAATCACAGCTCGTGAGCCTGTGGGAACTTTTTATTCTTTTATTACTTTCTACTGTAGAATAAAGCTGAGCCTCACAGGACACCTTTAGTTTGATAATAAAACTAGAGGAAGTACAATAAAATCTGACAATCTTGGGGGAAGAATATGTGAAGTTGTCTCACTGTGTTGTGTCTGCAGTGTGTAAGATCACTGGCATGCAGCGTGTGCTGAGGAATCTGCCCTTAATTTTATTGGACAAATTATATTTGGGATTGTTGCTCGATCAGGTCAGAGGTTCTGGTTTTAGTTCTGGAATGAGACTTGGAATAAAAACTGTGGGGGTGGCAAAGGAGAATTACGATGGTTATGTTTTGTTTAAAAGCAGAGTTGATAGAAAACTTTTCTCATTTCTTAAGCCAGTAATAAATCCAACATATATTTGGTGTTATTCATCCCAGTTAATTTTCGATTCATTGCCAGTAACTACCATGCAATCATAACAAGACCTTAGTTTAGACAAAGCATGAAGATGTTCCCCATTCCTTTGTTCTGAATCTGCCTGTGTGAGCAGATACCTCAGTTACACTTCATCCAGGAACGTCTGCATAGGTCACAGTGCGGTGAGATCCTTTCAGTGATGCCTGCTGCTGCCTTCCACCTTTGTTTCCTCGTTTTGCTCTTTTCTCAACTGTTTGTTTTCTGAGGTGAGAGTGGCATTTATTTGTGGTGTTTGCTTTGTGTTGCATAGTCATGTCACAGAGTCACGGCAGACTGGGGGCTGAAGAAGTGCTAATCCATTTCTTTTAGAGCAGTTTGTTAAATAGATGCAATCTGGTGCAAGTAGAAAAGGCATTTCCACATTTTTAAAAGACAATATTCGGTTATGCATCTACCTGTATACAAGTTCTACCTTCTTACATCTTTGTTGTCTGCCTCAGGTTCAGGGAACAATCTTCTTACCTTTTCTCTTTTTTTCCCTTTCTCCCTTCAGAATTGCCAAAATGCTTTGGAATTCTTAAATGATTCTAAAACTGAAGTTGCTGAAGATACAAAACTCATAAGAACACAAGAAGCAGCAAGGAGGATTCAGTGCCAATGCAGCAACAAAGAAGACAGCCAGAGTTAGTGGAAGGAAATCTTCCTGTTTTTGTTTTTCCTACAGAACTTATATTTTATGCAGATGACCAGTCGACACACAAGCAGGTGTTGACTCTATATAACCCCTATGAGTTTGCCTTAAAATTCAAAGGTGGGTTTCTTAGGTTAAGTTGTATTTAAGGATTAGTTGGTGATCTTGAACAATCCAATTATAGTTCGTGTAACAAATCATATTTGCGACAAAACCAAAGCCCTGTCTTCACATATATCTGTTGATGAAATAACTGAAGTGTTAATTTGTGACTTGTCACCTCTGCTGTCCTTTCCTTTGCAGTTCTTTGTACAACTCCAAATAAATATGCGGTGGTTGATGCGACTGGTGCAGTGAAGCCTCAGTGCTGTGTTGATATGTAAGTAAAAAGTGGTTTATTTTTCCCCTGATAACACAACATCTGCTTACCTTAATTTCCTTCATTATTGCAAGAGGTAGTAAATGATAGCATACACAGCATAAATTATATAAATATTGCCGTGTTTTCCTGATCTCTTGTATTCTTGTGGCCATTCAATCTTTACTGTTCTTTTACTCTAGGGCAAAGGTAACAATTTGGAGATTGCTCCTTTAGTTTTCTCTTGAAGCATAAATAAAATGCTATTAAATGCATCCTGTAGTATATTTTGTAAACAATCAGTGAGAGTATGGAGTCTCTGAGTACTGTTTTGTTATTTCTAACAAGAAGAACAAGACCACCCCTAGGGTTGGGATTTCTTTGTGAGAAATGTTTGTTTGCAGATTGACAAAGTGAAAATGTATGAAATTCTACTGAACACACTTTCCTGGGACATATTTAACAAAGGTACTTTTGCCTATCTTTCACCCTGGACACCTGTCTTGTTCTCTCTGCTCTCCCTCCCTCCTTCCTTTCTTCCTTGCCTCCTTATCTCTCTCTCTCTCTCTCTCCCTCCCTCTCCCTCTCTCTCTCTCCACTCCTCCTCCCCTCCATTACTTCTCCTTTCAGGTCCCAACACAATAACAGAGGAAAAATGAATGCTGGTTAAGTTACTCCAATAACGTGTAGGGCCTGAAGGCTGCTAGAATTCAAAGTAGAGGAAGAAACAATAGATATGATAAAATTCACCAACTTTTTTCATTGTATTTGCAACATTATCTCTATGAGGTACAGATAGAACAAAATTAATGAGAATATCAGTAAGCTACTGGTAGAGTTTAGCAGACATTTACACGGTCTTGATGTTTAGTTCATCTTTGGCTTAAACAAATGTATTAAATAAGAGTTATGCCTATTTCCTGGGGAGTTTCTGTGTGGCAAAGAAAACCCCATCTGGTTCTGTTGATGTTGTCCAATGTCAATGTTCACTGCAAAGCTATGAGCAGTACTAGGTAAGTGTGGCCACTTGCCAGATAAACATATTCTACAGAGCTTCTGATTATGCAATGGCCTCTGAAAAGAAACATGAGAATGTATCTGTTTATAAGGGTCTACAGAAAACATCTTCTTGCTTGGCAGCAGATGCGTGTTCTCATAGTGCAGCATTATGTACAGATTTTGTTTAGGTTGATAGTACCACATACTAAGAGGAGAAAAAAACCATAAAGGAAGTCTTAAAGGGAGAAATAATTTATCAGAACAGCAGATTTAGTTATCAGGGTTGTATGAAAGCATTGTTGGGGGAAAATCCTTCTGTTTTAATGAAAGCACTCACCCAACCACCACTGAGCTTCTTGAAGCCTGACATAAGCACACTGCTTGGTTTCTAAAGTAAAACCACAGACATTTCTATGCCCATCTTGCTTAGGAGAGATGACTTAGTTTCTGTTTCCTTGTTGAACGGTCTGTTCAAACTATATACTAGTTATAAGCACTTGCTCTGTGTTTATGATTGTAGATACCTTGTTGTGGTACAGTTCCTTTAAAAGAAACCAGAAACAAACATCTGTTTCTTGTAGCATTTTAATGCATATGTATCACAAAGACAGTACTCTTACAATTGTTTCAAAAAAGCTTATCCTGTATTAACAAGGGCAAAACCACTTTTTCCCCTCAGGACATGGCAACCTTCTTGAAGCCACATCACTTATACATAGGTGTTTTTTCAGGTTAGCTGTTATTATCTTAGAAATTTAGAGTAGCCTCTCATAAAGAAGAAGGAAAAAAAACATCTTCCATTCCAGAAAAAAATACTTTGTTTTAACTCTAAGAGCTGATATGACTTAAAAACCTGAATGTTTTCTTTTTTTAGTGCTAGATGGGTATTTTCATAATGAATCATAAATGCAGAGAGGAGGCAGGTGAGCAGAGCAGTGTGCAGAGGTCTGTATTGCCTTTGATCAGTGTTATTTTTAAACTGTGCCTTTTACATGTCCTGCATATGATTTTTTTTTTTCACATTAAATACCATAAAACTAGAAGTAATGTAACAGTGCCTTAATTTTGAAACCATCCTGGTCAATTTGTTCAAAACAGCAGAATTCACAGTGGTTGCTAGACAGTACCAAAGTTTGTGAGGGAACAGATGGACTCCAGGCATGGCTCAGTGTTTGCCTATGCTGTAGTTAGGGGTATGATTGCAGCTTGTGTAGATAACAGCAGGCCTAGCTCTTGCTAGCTGGTCAAATATCTGCAGTATTTCAGTTCAGGCTGCAGAATATGCTCAAGGTAGCAAGACTGCTGAGCAAAGCTTTGACAGCACAGAGCTCTACTTCTGAGAGCCAAGCTTGCTCACTGAAGGATGGCAAATGTTTATATAGGTACATAACTCTAATTTTGATTGCAGTTTCATGCCTTAAACTGGTGAGTTTCTGATTTTGAAAATCTCTTTAAATCCAGATGACTCTTACCCATAGAGAGAATTAGTTTTGCTTCTGAGAAAATATAATTTCAAAGCTTTGAGCCTGCTTTCCTGAAGACACTTCTGCCATCACCTTCTGTCCAAGCATTTGGCAGTCCTTTTTTTCCCTACCTACCCCACATCCCCCTCTACCTTTTTGACATGTTGGACAGCATAGAGCAAAATTATTTTAAGAGGAGGCATCTTTCGATAATGGATGTGTTGTGAAAAGTGGCAGTCAGGTCCCTAATGGTGTGTTCTGAGAAAGAATAACTGTTGGTTTGTGTTTTTTTTTTTTGGCCAGCCAATTGGAGCAGATATATTTAGGAACTAGAATACCCTATCATCCCTATCATGATACAGCAAACACAGGGAGGAGAGAGATTAGGCAAGATCAGATCTTCAAGAACATTGAGTGACTGAGGATAGAATGGGAATGTGAACTATTGCAGTGCATCTGTGTGGGGAAAACGGGAAACATTGGCATTGCAGGGCATGATTCCACAAGACATCATTTTGACCAGCTCCTCTGCTTGAAATTGTTTTACTCTGCAGTGTGATTCGTCACAGAGATGTTCGTGCTGCTCACTATGGTGTGATAGATAAATTCCGTCTGCAAGTGTCTGAGCAAAGCCAGAGGAAAGCACTGGGGAGAAAGGAGATTATTGCTACTCTACTTCCATCTGCAAAGGAACCACCACAACAAAAGGAAGAGGAAGAAAAACGAATAAAAGAACACCTGTCTGAAAGTGTCTTTTTTGAGCAGACTTTGTGTCAACCAGGTAGTTGAAATCTTTATCCATCCTGTTCTCTGAATCAGTTTTGAATAGCTTAAATAATAGAAAGACTAGACTAAAATAAGCTTTAAAATAATTCTTATTAGTTACCTTTATCACCAAAGGATGATTGCACTCAAGAAGCAAACTGTGACAGTTCTGCTTGTGCTGTCTTGATTAATAATAATTTTTTTCTTCTTTGAAAAGTAGAAAAAAGCAAAATTGATAGCTGGAAATTCATCACATGTTTTGTACATGATGAAGTGAATCTAAAGTCTTGGGCAAAGCCTGGATCAAACAGCTTAAAATGACAGGGGGAGAGAGAAAAAGTATTGAGTCTTACTGGAAGTGAATCTGAACGGATCCTCAACTTCTGCTGAATTATAGTGTAATATTCTTGTCACTGCTTGCTTTTTCATGACAAGAACAAAAATAAGTTCCTGAAAAGAAACTGACTTGCTTGAGACTGTTTCTCCTGCTAAAATCAAACTGTGTCAGCATTTATAAATGGTTTGCTGGCTGGTGAAACACCTTGTATTAAGGAAAAAAAAAAAACAACAGATCCATCTCAGTATGTACTGTAGGAGGATACATGTTTAAACTAAACCTACACTATCTCTGGGCCCACAGAACACACTGTTAATGTGATAGTTGTTCCAGTACAGAGGGTTTGAACCATTCTGAACAATCTGATATTGGTCTTAATCCAAACGCTATTTCTTTTCTTTAAATCTTTAATTAAATTATATTGCTTGCTTACAGAAAAGCAGTAAAGAGCAACTTATGGTCTTTGCATATAACCTGCAACCTAGAAATAACAGTCTACTGGAATTAAAATAGGACACACAATGCCAGTCACAGTGAGGATGGAAAACATTGCTAAAAGCATTTGTTAATTTCTAATAGGTGGTTCTTAGCATTGTCAGATGTTCAGAACTAGGTTAGAAGTATTCAGCTAACACATTAACAGCTTGAAGTGTGTCATTGAGGAGGTTCCAGCAGCACAGCAAAGAGCACGGAGGATAAATGAATCTATAGTTTGCATTTCCTTGTTTGGGTGATACTGGATTGTTGTGGTAGTTCAGTTTTTAAAGCAAGTTAAATATGCTACTGAGCTGTTGCATGTAAACTGGTCCTGGAGCAGGCTTTAAATTCTTCCTTAAAGAAAGAGGGAAAACTCACCCGGGCCAACAGCCTGTGCTCTTGCTCTAGCCAAGACTTGTTCTGGAGGTGTAAGAGTTTTCTGCCTGTGTACCTCCTTTCTTTTCCAATTAACTACTAATTGCACAGGGAGTGTATCAGTGTCAGGATGCATAGTGAAACCTCAAGCACTGCTGAAACATCTAACTGCCAGGAGTGTGTATATATAGCTACTAGGCCTGGCAGGCTCTGTTCCTCTAGAAGGGAGAGATTTGGAGAGTCATGCAAAAACAAATTCCAGCATCAGCCTTGGAACAGGGAGCAGCCTCCTGCACTGCAAGATGCAAAAAGCTTAGGAAAGTAGGTGTAAGTTGTTTTCCATCCCCTCCAAAGTTAAAAAGATAAAGAAAATATCAAGGTAGTGCAGCTCTGATGTTATATGTGTAGATGTTCCTTACAAGTGGCACTGTTTTGTTTTTCAGAAAACAGACCTGCCTCATCGGGACCGAGTTTACTAACAGTCTTCCTGGGAATAGTGTGTATTGCAGCACTAATGCTACCTACATTGGGGGAAATGGAATCCCTGGTGCCTCTCTACCTCCATTTAAGTGTGAATCAAAAGTTAGTTGCTGCTTATGTTTTAGGTAAGTATTCTGGACTTTATGTTTTAGTGGAGCTTTTGTGATTTGGGAAACTTTTCTACTATTTGTCAGCAGCTTCAGGAAACCTGGAGACAAAGAACTGCCTTACATTTTCTTTTCCACCCCCATTTATATTTTAAGTTACAGCCAGAATGATATGAGGGAAAATTGATTATAAATATCTTAGACCAGATTTTAGTCAATATTATATATAGGCTTCTATGTACTAGTTTTGCCTTCATTCGATGACTGGCCCAATTACTAATACCTATAATCATCTGCCCACAAAACTGAGTGAAACGTATTATGTTTCTTACACTGAATACAGTTAATCTGTTGCAGAACCTAGAACTCTGCTGGTTTTATTTCTCTCTCCAAGCCAAATGAGCTGGTCTGAAAGGCTGTATTCATTGTCTTCTTGATAAGCAGTTAAAATGTTCAAAAATAAATGGTTATTATTGCTTACTAAGAGATCACTGCCATCCACAACTCTTTGTGATTGCTAACTTGCTCCTAAATTAGGAAGCATAGATAAGTTGCACGCTTCATTTGATTTGACTATTTTTCTGTAGCTATTTCAGATTGGAAGAGCACTTAACTCCATCCCACTACCAGGCAGAAGTGAGAATTTAAAGGAAAAGAGCTAGGCAGCTTCTAACTGATAGCTAGAGTTGAGGTAGTGGTGAGAAAGAATGCAAGAACTTGTTGATTAAATGCACACAGTTTAGTGACTGACTTTGCTAAGTTCATCTGCTGAAAGGGTTTTAAATCTCACCTGTTGCTAAGCAGAAGCCTACATCTTTATCTGAGCTGTGGCAATGTATTTTCAGATTAGAATCTTGCAGTAATCCTGGTTTTATTTTTACTTTTGAAAATAGTCCCAGTTTCTGCTGGTGACAATTATAATATTAAACCATTTCAATTCATACATTTGCAACAACCTACCTGTTCATAAAGTTCCTATAGGTCTCGATTCTACTGTGGGCAGGGTGCTTACTGCTCAACAAAAAGGCTCCTCTGGGTACAGCACTTATCTACAACACAAGTAGATTGCCCTTAAGAAGGTGCAAACACTTCTGCAATGAAGTACAACTGTATTGTTTAGTTTTTAACTGAAATGGGAGGTTTGTGCTACACCAATGAGACTACATGACATTGGAGAAGAATTTGCTTTACAGAAATGAGTTAAACCCATACATGTGGTGCAGGTTGTTCCGTTGCACCTTCCAGAAGCTTGTTCTCTGCAGTGATTTAAATAATCTAAATTAGTGCCTACAGCAGTTCTGGTAGTTGGGATTGTCTGAGCTAATACAGACCTTGACAAATAGCTAAACTAATTCCTCTTTAATGGGATGAAATGCTTGTCTAATGGAAGGCAGCATTACAATTCTGTTGTCATGCTTTTATCCTTAAAATCTTTATCAAATAAGTTACAGAGTATGTGGAGACAACATAGCAAAAGAGTCTTAGCAATTTCTTTGTCTGGTGAGATCTGTAGGCTGTAAGATCTCTGCTGTGAAAGGCTATTATAGAAATGTATTCCAAGCCTGAAATAAGATTGCCTAAGAACTGGTGAATTACTATTCTGATGTTACAGAAGGCCTGTATGTTTTTCCATATGCCTCTTTTTCCTGTACTAAATAAATTCATGGCTATTAACTTTTTTCCCTGTATTTTCTGCTTTCATTCCTGGAGCCTATTCTTAATTGTTTGGGGGTTTTTTAGGCCTCTGTCAAAGCAGACTTTTTTCCCCTCCCTTCTTAAAGGTCACAGAGCCTGCAGAAAGCTCCCTATGCAGACTGATCAAAGACCTGCTTAGGACAAGTATTCTTCTGCAGAGAAATGAATAAAAAACATCTTCTAGCTTTTAGCTAACCTGCCTTACTGATGACTCAGCATTTGAATTACACTGCCCATAACCATCCCACATCAAAACCAATGGCTTCCATGCCCATGTTAAACTTAATGTTTAGATTTTAACATGGATGAGATTTTCCAGCAGGCAGTTAGATGTACAGAGCAGTTACAGCTTCTTTGAAATTTATCTACAAGGCAACGCTTCACTACACTGTAACACACTGATTTTTGTCTACATCAGAATTTGGAGCAATACTTCTAGTACTTATGTAAGGGATCTGTATGAACTCCTTCTGCATGCATTGCTTCTGTTTTATTTTCTGCCCTGTGAAATGGTAACTGTCTTCTCTATCTCAAAAAATTAAAGCACTTAGTTCTTAATCCTTTCTTCCAGGTCTCATCACCATGGTTATTTTGAGAACATGAGCAATGACTTAACAGGACATCAAACACCTTACTGTATATTCACATCATGAATGTGGACTGCCTTTTACTCCCATTGGGCTCATCAAGATGCTAGCAGCTCTGTTCAGTGATCTAAGATACCTTCAGAAGTGTAATATATTTTAACTATGTATAATAAATGAAAGACTCAAAGCACTTTTAGGTGCTTCTGTAACAGACAGCTATGAAATGTTCAGTGATACCTGTGAAAATAATTTGAAACACTTTTATATTTACGCCTACTGTAAGAAAATCCTTATTAAAGCAACATTTGTTATTTTTAGTCTATGTTCACATCAGTGCGTGATCACTATAAAAGCAAACTGTCATGTAAAGCGTTCCTTTGGTTTGTGGCTGTACATGCTGAGGCTGATGCCTAACACTTCTGTATATGTACCAGAAGGATGGCAGTCGTGGCTAATCATTGAAGCAAATGGAAAATTTCATCAGTGAAACTATGAAATAAACCATTAAATTTAGGTGAAGAAGTAATTCTCAAATTCCTTACTTCATTGTTACTGATGTATCACCGAGTGCTCATTTTCTTACCTGGGGAAGTAATTTCTGCAACAGACATTTTGTATTGACTGTAGACAATAAAGACCAGTTCTGTAATCAGATCCCTTTGTTTCTTAGGGCTGCATGCAACCTGTGAGCTACGTGGCATTAACAGAACCTGAACTCACACTGCACACCAATATAGAATTCAGCACCTTTTCCTATTTCACAGGCCAAACTAGGCAGAGCAGCAAAGGCATTTTTGTTTCCACCTTCCCCCACCACACCTTACAGCTGAGGCAGGATTTCTTTTGTATGAGAAACTCCTGCTCAAAGTCCTATGTTACATTCCAGGTAAACATTTACCCCATTTCACATTTCATTGTGAAGATGTTTAATTATAACATTTCTACTACTTCATTTCACTGTGACTGCATTTGGTTCATACATATAGATTTATAAGGAGTCTATATAATAAATATGCTTTGATTTGTATAAGAAACATTTTGGAAGTTAAACTTTCCCCTCCTGCATGTTACAGGTCACTTTTCTGGACTTTGTACACAGAAGCACAAGGAAACCACACAGACATTGCTGTTTAAAAAAGGATAAGGTTGAATTTACATTAATAACTACTGTAAATTTCTTACATGTAACACTCCAAGTCTTTAAAGGGCAATAAAAATGTTACTTCAGCTTGATTGCCAGGAACTGAGACTGTGTCATCTATCAGCATCAGGTGATGAAATAGACATTAGTAGATCTTAAAAAAAAAAATTAAAAAGTGTTGGTTTGAGCTCTTGGTGTTCCAGACCTGTGCTACAGCCAGAGTTCTCTTCCAGTTACAGACACAGAGGTAGGCATGGCTCAGAGTTTTCCTGCTGCTATGGAGCTGCATTCTTGTAGCTTGGCTGATATTTTTTAATCACCTGCACTGTTAATTTGGAGTTTCATGAGACACACATTGCCAACATTCATTTTCATGGGAGTTAGAAAGAAGCAACCAGCATGGAACAAACACCTTGAGCAAAGAAATGGGGAATAAAGAGTTATCAGCAACCAAGAGTACTAAAACACTGGAATGTTTCTTGTTCAAGGTCAAGCCAGGAACAACACACAGATAAAGTTTCTGTGCACAGCGTAACTCAGCAGCTGTAGATAAAGCTCATGCTTAGGCAGAATAAATGCAAATTTTGACTCTTTCATTGCAGGGAGATGACAACATAGTCACAAACCTACTCTAACATTGGATAAATGAGACCTGAGCACAGCTGCAGTTTAGAACTGGGGGAACGCATCACCTCGTGCCACAGCAAGGCACAGGGAGACACTGGGTCTCCTGTGGGGTGGGTGTACAAGGCTTAAAACACGTTCAGGATGCATTTATCTGTCCGTGTGCACATACCTCTGGTACCCTGAGGCCTGTTTAACAGGACTGTTGCAAACACTGGATGCCTCTGGAAATAAGACCTGAGACAGTGAATACACTTCCTCTTCAAACACCAGGAAAAATAGTTAAGTGTTTATGTCATTTCCCATTCCTGACTCCTTAAGACAAACAAAGCAGTCATTTCCTTGAGATGGAGAAGTATTTTGAGCAGACAGGAGTTCTTTAAGATCACCCAGCAGAAACAATCAACTTGTTTACCCATGACCTGTGATGGCATTGGTATCTCACACAAGCAATGCTGGCAGGCAGGAAATGAGTGCTATGAGGATCCTCTCCAGTTGCATCACTCCCAGCAGCCAGAGGTGTGGTGCAGCATCTCCTTTAGATGTTTGCCTTGTCTGATGAGAAAATGCTGAGATTTCCCCCTTTGTTCTGAAGAAGCGAATCACAGAATGCTTATAACTACAACAGATCCAACACAACCTTTCCAGAGTTCCAGGGACAGGGAGGGCTTTTCACACCATCGCTTCATCCCAGCAGGGAGCACAGCTGATGTCCCCAAGGCTGGAAAGTGGGCCCAGCAGCCTTACACAGAAATAGCCTGAAAAAGGACTCGCCTACTGCCCACATTTCTCAAAATGGGCCCAGGGAACACAAGTGAACACACTGTTAGATGGTTACAGTTCCTGCTCTTACTTGAACAGTTGAACGGTGACATTTGTGGCAGCTCAGAGAAGTCACGCACAGAACTGTGCCTCCAATAGCAACGCAAAGAAACGCTTTTTGGAATCAACTAGCTAAGAATTCTCAAAGTCAACTGCATGTAATTTTATGTTCATACAAGTATGTACTTGTATGTAGCAAGTATGTGATAACAAGCAAGCCTCAACTAAAGGGGGGCTGCTCAATAGATTTGACAAAAAACCGCCGTATCTCAGTCCTTATGTTTCAGTGCACACTGAACATACACAGCTTTCCACCTGCAGAACCTCCCTGCTGTAAGCTATGAGCTGCTCACTTCACACAATAAACCAAAGCTAACGTACACCAGCTCTCAAATAATTACAAAGCTCCATAACCACACTGATAATAAATTGTGGAATTAAATGCAAGTGAAATAACACAGGCTGGTCTGTGAAACAGCAGAGAATAATTACACAAAGGAATATCTTAAGCAAGAGCAAAATCATGATTACAGCAGCACAAATGAAAGCAATGGCTGCCCTCAGCATGAAGAAAAGGCTGATAAGGGCTGCCTGAGTAACGGGTTCCCTGTGACACCTCTGTTGTGGGACATAAATTCAGACATGTTCAAAACGAAGAGCTACTGCTGAAGTCAATGTGCTTGTAATGAAAGGATCTTGATTTATTTTTAGCAGGAAGCTTCCTGCATCAGTTTCAGTGCCACCACCTGATTTAAGCTACTTGAAAGACTGGAAGTCAAAACAGTGCACTATTTTTGTGCCACAAAAACCAACGCATGATACATACACCATGGTTTTGATTTTCCTCTGCAGAGGGGGAAAGCAGCAATAAGAACCAGATATCCAAAGAATAGAACCTTTACCTCTTCCTACTTCAGTTCCTGCACAGCGAAATGACAAATATTTACATGCCATAATTCACCACAGACAAGAGTGCTAAATAAAACAGTTTTAATCTGGTAAGTGCCAGATTTGCCTGAAGAATCTTCATGGCCTGCCTGTTTCTTGGGCCAGGTTCATCATATCCAACAAGGATGCTCATTTTCAGAAACCACAAACCAAATGAGAAGTGAAAAGACTGCACTGTTACAGGTTAAGAACAATAAAATCATCCACAACATAATCTTTGAAAACAGCCAATACACAAAGAAGCGAGGGGGCAATTTTTATAACAATATGTTTCAAGCAAAGTGCTCCTCTGTGGATTGAGACAGTTTTAATTATAGTATTTTAACTGTAAACATTCAATGACACTTACAAATATTTTAACTCTGTGCTTATGAGAAGAGGGAACAACTTAAGCTCCATCTGACAGCTGGTGACAAGAAAGGGTACAAAGAGCTCACATATTCTAATAGCAACTCCTGAACCTCTCTATTTTGAGTTCCAAATGCAACATATGCAAAAACATAACAAAGTGAACACTTTTCAAGTGACAACTGCTAAGAAATGCTCAAGCTGTTACATAGCTTGAAGGCTGGTGGAGCTCCAGCAGTCACTTCCACCTTCAGTGATTTCATCAGCAGCACTGGGCTCACAAACACACAACTGACCCAAGAATCACAAGATTGCCTCGCAAGAACACATAAGAGTTTGCAGATCTATTTTGTTTGTGCAAGTTAGCTATCACTTACACCCCAGACTTCTGAAGAAAGGTGAAAAGAACAAGTTTAGGATTAGGTTCTCATACTAATGATCAGGAGGACAGCTGTTGGGTATTCAGATGAACTGACTTGCTGACAACACACAAGACCCTAGCAAATTAATCCGGCTGATGCGCTGGCTCATTTTTCCTGGCATTTGTATCACTCTCCCACCATGAAGTATCTGTTCCTCTGCTAAATGCAGTAAGTGCTCATTCCAAAAATACAATCCCCTGAGCATTGAGCACTGGCACGGTTATCAGCGTTCCCTGGGCAACTGGGAAGGTAAACCACAAAGATTACTTTTTGGAAATGGTTTTATTCTTCAGTTTTCCAAGAGTTGTGCTGCAGATTTTAGAGCCAACTTCAATGCTAAATAAACAAGGGTGGAAACGTGATACATTGTGATACTCAGATACTCTGAGTTAGAAAGAAAAACTTTTAATCACAGATTAAAATAGTAATGCAGTTACCTTTCTAACACAGCACAGAAACAGAAAACCATGCTTTTTTTTTTTCCATTTATTGGCACTTATTTGAAAAGCATAAATATCCAACAGAATAAAAGACAAGTTGACTTACACACAGCCATGGAACCCCCCACCAATGCATCTTTCTTGTAAGATTGGAACAGACACCCAGGGGCCCATTCTTAAGAAGAAAGTAAGATGAAAAAGTCAGTCTTGCCCTCACCACAGAAGAGTGAGCACACAGCAACTCTTTGGCACATCATCTGAAATTGCAAAACAAAACTATGCCATATTAGATGGCAAGGAGACATTACACACAAGTTCATCTATCGGCCACAGGGCAAAAAACAGTCTGAATAATAACAGAAAAAGAATCTGCAGGCAGGAAGTTGGCTACTGCAATAATTTAAAAGGAATTAAATCGGAAGCGAACCGTGATATACCTTACTTGAGAAGTGTAAAGCTATTAAATAGGTTCTATTTTTTTCCTACAATAAGGGTAACTAGTTATTGGTCCTAAGGTCACTAGGCAGTAAGTCATCCATTTCTACTTCTGATGGCTGCTGTCCAAAGCTCCATCCATGTGAGTATTTTGCAGCAGAATTCAAAATGGGCTTCTCTCCTACTTGAGGACCTTTCCAATCTTCTCATTAGAAAGATCTAGCATTCAAAAAACAAAGCATTTTGCTCTGTTATTGACCTCTCTGGAGAGAAGGCTTACAACCACATGGTTTAGATGCACACACATGTACAAAGGGGGATCCAGCTGGGGAAGTTCAGTTCCATAGCAGGAGCCAACCACCAAAATGAAGTTGCCACAGGAATGTTTGGAACACTTCCCTATGCTGGTTTACAGATTTTTGCTCTTGTCTGAGGAATTTCAGAGTTGAAATCAGAATGCCTCAACC